GAGATGGCACGGACATACCAAGATGAATGCACATCTAGTGGTGATGAATCCCGTGAAGTCCGTGAGATGAAGAGAATTGCGAGGCATGAAAAGAGGAAGAAAGAAGGTGAAGCAGAGGAGACAACAGAAGCAGCAGATGATGATCAAGATGAAACTAAGAGGCTGAGGAGACCAAAGAAACCCGAGGAAAGCTCAAGCAAGAAGAGAAGGAAACGAAAGAAGAAGATTGAAGAGGCCAAAGAGCAACAGAATGTTGAGGAACAATCTGTTCCTCAAGGAAGTCAAGATGAACCTTCGAGTATGCCATCGAGTTCCATTTTGGATGAAGAACACAAGAGGAAACGTGATCTTCTACTTGATGATGTACCAGAATCCATTCGTGGAGCGATGAGACGAAGACTTGAGGACAAGGAGGTGGACTCATCTGGTGGAGTTGAGATGTCCGCAGAGGAGAAGGAAACAATGTGTGTGGCATTCCTTGCAGAGAGGATGGACACCTACACCAAAAGGAACAAGCACACGGAGCTCAACCCTCAGAAGATGAAGTCACAGCTTCCACAGTTCACAGACAAAGAGATCGAAGAAGCTATGCAAAAGGCTGTGGAGAAAGAAATTGGCACATGGCAACGCTTTGATGCCATCGACATCGTGCCTCCGGATGAAAGCAAGAAAATTCGAAAGGAAAGCCCGGAGAAAGTGATTTCCTCAAGAGGCGTTTGGACAAAGAAGGATGATGAAAAGAGATATGAAAATGAAAAGGAAGAGCTTGTGCTGAAGTGCAGGGTCGTTGGCAGAGGCTTTCAAGAAGAGTACGACGAGAACCTCCGTCGTGATTCGCCAACATGCTCTACATTGTTGGTTCAGGTCATTTGCAGCCTGGCATCATCAAGGCTGATGAAGTTGACAGCAGCTGATGTCAGAGGAGCCTTTTTGCAAGGGCTGAAGATTGACCGTGAGCTGTACTTTGAGCCTCCAAAGAATCTTGGAAAGGCTCAGATTCCAGGAGTGCAGCCAGGTGCCTTGCTCAAACTCAAGAAATCCATCTACGGCGTGAACGATGCCGCAAGGCAGTGGTATCATTCCATCAACAGAATCCTCCTTCGTTTCGGCTGAAAAAGCTTGACATTCGAGCTTGCCGGTTTTGTGCTTCGTGACCCAGCTTCAAAAGAAGTGATAGCCATTTTGGCTTTACATGTTGACGATGTCCTCATTGCATGGGATGAAAAGAAATACCCAGAAGAATGCAAGAAGATGCAAGAACAAATGCAGAAAGAAGTTGAGTGGGGGCAATGGAGGACTGATGGAACTTTGAAGTTCTGCGGCAGATCCTATCACCAGGATGAGGACGGGACAATCCATGTTCATGCTCAGGAGTATGTGGAAAACATGAGCACCTACAAGGTCAGTCGAGAACGTGGCAAAGACAACAATGCAAAGCTGACACCAAGCGAAACCAAGGCATTTCGAGGACTACTTGGTCAATTGCAGTGGTATGCCCGGATTATGGGGTACTCCATTGGTTTCCAGGTCAGCAAGCTTGCCAGCGAGATCAAGGATTTGAGGATGTCAAGCCTCAAGGAAGCATCAAAGCTGGTGAGAGAAGTCAAACAATACCATCAAGAAGAGGAGCTCATTTTTAGACCAGGCATGGCTTGGCAACCGGAAGACATTGCAGTGGTAGCAGTCCATGACGCATCCTTCAACAATCTTCCAGGTCACAAGAGCCAAAAGGGATATTGGCTGGGCATTTCAACCCCAGAGGTGATCAAGGATCGAACGAAAGTACACCACATCCATTTTGTTCATTGGACATCGTCCAAGATACAAAGGGTGGTGCGATCGACCTTGAGTGCCGAAGCTTATTCCTGCTCAGAAGCTCTGGATGCCCTCAGTTGGTTGAGAGCGACCATTTTGGAAGTGTTGCATGGAGATTTGGACATGCGTCACTACAAGGAATATTTGCATCGCGTGCCAGGTGTCACGGTGACAGATTGCAGGTCTTTATATGATTGCATGAAGTCAGAACGTGTGTTGCTTTCCGATCGCAGACTGTCCTTGGAGGCAGCAATCATCCGACAAAGCTTGCAAGAAGGTGTTGAATGCAAGTGGGTGCCATCAGAGCAACAACTGGCAGATGCATTGACAAAAGCGCTTCATCGAAAAGGCTTGGCTTATTTGAACGATGTGCTCTACTCCAACAAGTGGACACTTGGCCCAGATCCAAGATTGCCAGAGACATCGAGGAGCCGGAAGTTGGAAAATCCAGAAGAAAAGCCAAAGCCAGAAAAGGTGAACAGCCATGAAGAAGCCGAGATGATCAACCAAAAGCCGATTGAACTTGAGGAGAATGAAAATTCAGCAAGCCCCAACAAGACAACCCAGATATCCACAAGTCCCGGAGTAAGTGCGAAGTCCGTACTGATGATTTCATTTGCACAGCAGTTCCTCCCTACAAATGCCGAGCCGGACGTGAGGACGATCCTGCCCCAGTTTCCATGGGAGTTGATGTTTGCGTGCGTGATCATTGTACTGACAGGTCTCTTTTGGTACAACACGACTTACTACACGGAGTGGTTTTTGTGGTATGAGGACCTTGCATTGTACAAACAAGGTGCACTTGTTTCGTTCACAACAATGCTGGTGGTCGTGATCGGGTTGAAGACAACAGTTTCACAGAATTCAGAATGTTTGATGTTGATGTGGGGTGGAATGGTGATCATGATAGTGTTGCTGGTGAAAAGACTTGATGAGAAGACATCAACGATCTTTACCCTTTTGGGCCAAGAACGCAAGAAGACTCAGGAGCTGATTCATGCAGGTATGTCACAAATGTTCAATGAGAACAACATCATGTTGACAGGGATGGACCGCATGAAGCACGCCATCAACGAGGATTTCAAGAAGGTCTCAGCGTTCATTGGTGATAGCAACCGATTCACCTATCAGAAAATGGACGACATTGCAGAAGAAAGCAATTTCAGGATCACAAAAGTCATTGACAGGTTGATCAGGATTGAATACAAACAAGAACGACAAGAAGTAAGAGCTCTGGATTTAGAGAAACGTCTGAAGCAAAAGAAGAGGCATCGGACCCCATCCATGAGTTCAGATGAGAAGCGAGCAATCCTGTTGAAGAGGCAGGACAGAAGAGAAGCCCCAGGGACTCCAACGGAGTCAGAAATCATGAGCTGGAAGACCCCGCAGTGCCGGAGTTATTTGTGGAGCCAGGAGAAGATGGTCGGCTGGCCCCGCATGACGAAGATGAGAGTTTTGAGGAAGATCATGGAAATGACCATGATGCAATGACAAGGAAGAACATCGGCATGACTCAGGAAAACTGGGAAAAGATGACAAGAAAAGAAAAGAAGTACTTTTTGCTGACAGTGATGTGGGAAGCGGCATGCGTGTACAAAGATGAAGAGAACATCAATAGCATCAGCCAACAAATGCAGATGCTTGCTGATGAGATCAATGCTGAGGCCCCGATCTCAAGATCAGGAGCAAGCAGCTCACATCATGATGTCCAGATGTCTGAGCGTGAAAGGTCACAGAATGTTGAGGAATGTAAAGTTAGTGAACCATGTGCATGACCTTTCACGACATGACAGACGGACGGACAGCCAAACGGTACGCCACATGCTCACTTACTGTGGTGGTTTGGCTCGAATCCTTTACCTAGGCCTTGAGCCTCCCGCGAGCCCCAAAAAGGTTCGTGTGTGCGCTCATTCCGCGCTTTGCAATATATATATATATATATATCGGAAAACAGTTCCTCAGACACACACTTCGGGCTGGAGGGACTTTCCCAGTGATGCATGGTGCAAAATCATGTGTGAAATGTGTTTCTTACAAAAATCCTCCATGCACATTTGTGGAACAGAATGGGTCGCCCACACTGAGGGTTTAGTTCAGCTTGCAAGGGCCGGGAGGCCATGTGCCAGCCAGTCGCTGGCATTGACACTAAGGTGTGCACTATCAAAACGAAGTTGGTGCTGCCCGCCACGAGCAACACTTGGTTTTCGGCAGGCCCGAGCGGAATCATTGTGCTCCATGGTCTACTATGGCGGTGGAATTCCGAGTCATCCCTAATCCAGTTGAGACGGACTACACTTGTATTATTGAGATTTCAGGTGAAAACACCTATGGGATCTATGGAAAACTTTTGATGCACATGACACAGATGATGCAGTGTGAAGAGGTGGGGCCACAGGCCCATTGTGATCTCCTTCTTCATTGCAACGCCCTCCGTGTGAGTGGTCAGGAATCCAATTTTGGACGATTCAGCACCATGCTGTGCGATTTCATGGCAGATCACCTGCATGAGTGGACACTCGTGAGCAGTGTTGGGCAAAGTATTTCCAACAATTGGGGCGACACAACTGGCTCAACACCAGTGCTGAGTTTTGTGGCGAGGCAGCAGCTCTTCATTTTCCTCTCAGCCTCGCCCGCACCGCTTCAGCAGAGCATGGGAGCCACCCCACGAGGTCACACTCTGGAAGGAAGCCGCACCCCATGCTTGTCCACACCACAAGGAAGCCGCCAAAACCTTAGTGGCTCAAAGTGATGTGGTTGGCTCAGTGCATTGAGATACGGCCAAAAAGGCCAGCAGATGCCAGCAGTCATGAGCGACTACCGTGAAGGTGGCGCCTTGACAGAACCGCAGTTTCCGTCGGTCGTACCGTGGGTCTTTGTTTGGACGTTTTGGCTCCAGCAAGGGCAACTTTTGCACAAGCTTGATTCACCAGCCTATGTACAAGTCGGTAGCAGGCTGCAAGTGTAGGCGTGAAGCCGTTAAACTGCAGCAGAGCTCGTCAAAGTTTCGAGCATGTTTGAATTCTGGGCATGCCCAGAGTTAGAGTTCCGTCGACTTGTCCACTAGCGGTGCAGTCAAAGAAAAACCATAAACCTACATACATCACATTAATTATCGTAAATTCAATTAAATACTCGGCTGATCTCACAGCATCCACCAGCTGCAGCACGATATTGGCTCTTTTTAGGTGAAGATTCTCTCCAAAAGCCTGCGAGAGTGAGGTGCAAACGGGGAAGATGTGGGTGCCTGTTGGTGCGGAAAGGTCGCGCAACAAGACTTCCCCGGTGGCAAGAGATCGAGCATTTGTTTGCAGATTTGTTTCGATCAACCAAGTGTTCGACTTGTCACGAAAGCTAGCCTTAGCTAGCTGGAGTTGCTCTTGCTTTAGCAAGTTAAGTGACGGGGTGGACGCACCTCAGAAACCTCAAATAATTGATTAAAACAAACTTTTGGGCCCCCCCCCCCCCCCGCGGTTCGACTCCCCCCTGCGCGCGGTGAGCGGGACCTCCAAGCAGCTGCAGCACACCAAGCATCTGCAGCGCCCAGCGCAGAAGCGGCAGCAGCAGCAGCATACCCAACGCCGCGGCAGCAGCAGCCGCAGCAGACCACCCAGCGCCAGCAGCAGCAGCAGCAGACGACCCGGCGCCTGCAGAGCACCCAGCGCAGCAGCGCCCAGCGCAGCAGCGGCAGCAGCAGCACCAGCAGCAGCAGCACCAGCAGCAGACCACCGGAAACCCGGCTAGCTTTCGTTCACCCCCTCTGGCCTCAAGTTACTAGTAGGGATGCACTTGTTACTAACAGCGATGCCCCTGCTACTAGTAGAACCAAGTTTTGGACTTGTTATGTAGTTTCCTCAGGTTGACTCAAATTGTTTGTTCCAACTGCTGCTCTGAGCAGGTCTCAGCTGCAGCCAGGCCTATCAAGGGACTTGAAGCAATATGCATGCTACGGTAGGACCCATCGGTTTGAGGGAACAAATGACCTTAGTGTTCTCAACTGTTCATGTTTGCCCTCCTGACGCAATTAGGTGACAGTTATAGTTATATTTGTTTGTGCGTGTGAGTGCGCATGCATGTGCAACCATTATTCCACTGCTCGAGCTTTGCTTGGTGACCACTATGCTCAAAGGTGTCCCAGGAGGTTTTTCACTGCATGGACCTCAATCAAAAGCATTTATATAAGTGCATATCTAACTTGATATTCCTTGTGTTCAACGCGTTTTGCACTCCGAACTCCAATCTAGCCACTCAATGAATTTGATGCTGAAAATGACTGCCTCCCTAGCACGCACACTTCGTGCACCAATCCAAATCACACACACACACACGCACACCTTGGCCACTGGGCCGATGGGTGGCGCTCCGGCACTCGTAGCCTTGAATCAATCTAGCCTTTTGCAGAGCGACTTCAAGACAATGGGTGAGAACGGAGATGAGTGACATGGAAGCAGCTCGAGAAAACGACCTCAGATCTATGAGCGCCGGTTGTATATAATACATTAATGGAATCGTGGAAGCGTTTCGCTTCTGATATCACAGCAGCCAAAACACAGCCATACACAGCCACGACGTTCAACTGTATGGGAAATATGAGACCCAGTCCTCGGCAAGTGTGTTTCATGTTGTGTAAATTTGCTTGGAATACTTGTGCGTAAGCCGAGGTTTGGAAAGCTATATAACTTGTAGATACTTGTACAACATCAATTTTTACCCCTTCATTCAATTGAGTACTTTAAAGTTGTTGAATTGTTGAGCACTCATTTAGAGTGTGATATAATTGTATACACCTGGCCATACCGGCATGGCTTCAGGTGCAGTGACCTTGAGATTCAGGAACCGACCACTGGATGCAGACGTGTGCTGTCACTTTCCACAGCTGCACCTCGCATTGAAGTTTCACTTGAAAAGAACACATTCAGCCCCTAGCATCAGAAGTTCCCAGCCGGGACTTGTTGCTGTTGATGCCCACGCACACATATACACAAATATTATCAAATATAAATATATATATATATACATATATACACATAAAATAATCCCATTTGTGACTGTACACGCTGCTTTGAGTTATTCTTTGTGTGCTTCACTACGGTCAGGTGCTTGAGTGCCAGCAATTTTGCATTCATGTCCTGTCAAGCTTGTTGGTGTCAAGGTCAAGTCACTGCTTCTGGGCCAGCTTATTTCTGTCTTGAATACCTTCACAGGCGTTTTTTCATCCACACTGGCTGCTTCTGGCATCAACCTGCCGACCACGCAGTCTAGCTTGAAGCCTTTCCTGAATTATATATGTAAATATTTATTGCCACGTCGACGTGAGCATTGGAGTTGCACACATCATTGACTGTCAACGAGTTGGGAGACAATGGAAATTTCATGTTTGTGGTTCAACCAATGGCTCAACATTTTTCTTTTTGTGATTTTTTTGTATTGTAAATCTTCTTGCATGCCGAATTTCACCACAAGAGATTTGTCAGGAACTGCATCTTGCTGGCGCTGCTGCTTTGTCCAGAACTTCGCCGCATCAGTGCCTTGCTTTTGCAGTGTTTTTCCCCACCTGTCAGGTGAGGGTTGTTAGAATTTATGCTTTTTATGCCAGCTGCCTTCCTCCGCTTCCGCCGCCGCTCCTCCGCCAGCTCCGGATGGCTCCCCGCCGGACCTCAACCGCAAGTGTTCCCCGCCGGACCTCAACCGCCAGCTGGATGGTAGCGCCCCCCAGCGGACCTCAACCGCCAGCTCCTGAGCGCACTGGGCGCTGCCGGAGCTCAACCAACACCAATACACATTCACAAGCACATTCACAAAAACAACCACAAACACATCCACAACCAAAAATCACAGACACACAGCCACAGCCAGAAACACAACCACAAACACAACGACAATCCCAAACACACAATCACAAACACACAGCCGCAAACACAACCACAAACACAATCACACACAGCCACAACACACAACCACAAAGACACATCCACAGCACACAACCACAGCACACAACCCACAACCACAGCACACAACCACAACACACAACCATAACTCACAACCACAGCACACAACCCGAGGACCCACAATAAGCAAAATCTAGAACCACAAAACTCACGACCGTGGCAACATGCTCCTCACCATGGCATGAAAACAAATGATTGAAATGTCATGAGTCATGGTGGGGATCACTCGAAGTAAAGTTTTTTTGTGTGCACCGATAATCAGTCACGACTGCCCGGAAGCTTGTTGGAGTTTGCTTGATCAAGGAGAGGAAGGCTTGAGAGTTCCATGCTGGAGATATGCGTGCTGGGCCATTGCTGATGTTGAGGCAAACTATTTGGCGCCTCAGCTGCGCTACCGCTACACTTTGGTGAAGCTGTGGGCCACCGAAAGACTGTAGTAACAATAGCAAACCACAGCAACGTGTAGCTGAGGGCCAACGGCCACTAAAGGCATCGCCGACGGTGACTATTAGCAGTTAAACAAGAGTGAGCAACAACTGCAAGTCGTATGGGCAAAACATGCCACAACCCAGTGAAGCTATGGGCTGTTGAACAGGACTTCTTTTTGGACATAGGAAGGGGCAATGGCTGACTGTTCCCACAGAAAGAGCGCCCAGTTGCCCTAAAAAGTGCAGAATATTGAAGTCCGTTCTTAAAAGGACCAGAGTTGCTCCACGTTGTCGTTGCCATGTGGAAAGATGTGGGATCTGAATGCCACACGACTACAAGAGTTTGCGCAGTTTGGCATATCAGGTTGTGCTTGCCTACCGTTACACCTCGGTGGCTTCAGTAATGCTCTTGGATGGCTTCACCGTACCTTGTGCCATGCTGCCTGGGTGCAGCATTATTGATGGGAGTCGAGCTAAGGTCAGCTGCTTGAAGGGGTGGTAAAGAAAACCCGCCACATGTCGCTTTGAATCGTCCCCCAACTTTGTAGCACTTGGGGAAACAATGTTTTTGGTGATGGCATGAGGGGTGCCAGGTTCGTACAGTGAGTTTTGATCCACTGAGTGTTTGCTTGTTCTATTTTACAAGGATCACGTTTGCAAGGCCGCTGCATGGCACAAGTCTGTAGGAGCTGTGGCTGAGCATTTGGCAGACTTGCCATGCTCAGACATGAACTTGTGGCCCCGCCTCCTCAATAAAGCAGGCACCTACTTGATTAAGTATGGAGCCAAAAAATATATATATATATACACACTAGACCAGAGTAATTCGACGGAGGATAGCTTATGCTTTTTCAAGTGAGGGCGGGGGAGAGCTTCCTTGAAGTGCTCGCACTATTCACTATTCACGTGGTTCCTAGATTTTGAGGGAAACTTAACAAGTCTTCTTTGTTATTAAGGTTTAAAGAGTAATTAGTATACAAATTTGACAATGATGTTGATCATGTAGAGCGCCCGATCAGGTTCGTCTCGTGGCTTTTGCTGCGTGCAAAATATCGAAAAGCACATATTGCCGCTTGTGTGGTATGCTTAGTTGGCTTAGGTGCCTCGGCTGGCTATGGTTGCCATGTGTCACCCAGTTGGGCTGGACAAGAAAGCGCTTCATGTTTCTCCTCTAACTCTCAGGCTTAACAGTGGTCTCGGACAGCTCCAAAGCGACTGGTACCACTGAACGCGCCTGGCTGGGAGATTTGTTTGTGATTTGTGGAGCCTCCCTATACTCGCTCTCCAATGTGCAAGAGGAGATCCTGCTCAAACGGCACAGTTCTCGTTGCGAAGCCTTGGGAATGCTTGGAGTTTTCGGCAGTCTCTCAACTCAACTGATTTGTGCCACCCCCAAAAGCTTAGCGGCTTAGCGTTATAGAATGTGTTCAAAAGATGGTCCGCCGTTTGGAATGAGATTTTGCACAGTCCTTGGAAAACGAAGCCGAACTCCTTTTTTGAGCTGGTTTGTGAGAGAGAAGCCGGACTGTTGGAGTGGTGCTGTACAGGTGCAGTGGTAATCTACTGTAACTCACCTGGTGAACAAACAGAATAGTAGCCTAGCTGGTGCAAATCCTGGGATAACAAGGCCGGAAACCCAAAAAGGAAGCCTCAGTAGAAGCGAACCAAATTTGGAACGTTAATTTTGAAGGTTGCTCATTTGATTTGTTTCCTGTTCGATTCACAGGTGCTGAAGCTCAACTGTTCCAGTTCAACCAGTTCAATGAGACGTTCCGTAGCAAAATAGTTGAATGGAGGAAGCCTAATTGATTAAGCAAGCAAGAGATGATGATGGACTTTGCAACAAGAAAATTGCAATTTTAACCCATTTTATGCCAACCGTACCCAGTGACCCAGCAATGTCCAGCATGGTTTCGGCCTTCCAGACAGGTTTGCATCCGAGAGAGTGCTAACACAGCTGAGGCATCATATCTTGTGTTCAAGCTTCCATCTTAGAAGGATCTACGCTTCTTCAGACTTCTTGGTCATTGAAAGATTTGGGATGCCTTTTCGGCTTTCAGCTGAGCCTGTTTGGCATTTACGCAGCTTTGCGCAAAAGGGTTGCAAACAGCTGAGTGGTTGAGGCTTGAGAATTTCAATGGTATTTTATTGTCAACACCCTCACTACTTCAAGTCAATGCACAAACTGGACCGGTGTCTTGTACACAGTGTGATGGAAAGCCAAGAAGCAGGCAACAACAGGTCTTGAGGTCAGCCAGCACAAGGCAAAGAGCTTTTGTTCGGCATGTCCAGCGGTTTGGAGCCACTGAACAAAGATCCTAATAGCTTGTTGTTACTACTAGTAAGGCACTTGTTACTAGAAGCGATGCCAGGGGGCCTAGTAGCTTCTTGTGACTAGTAGTGTGTAATACTTTCTTGTTAGCTTGATGAAAACACGTTTGCCGCACAGCACAGCGCAGCGTGTGCCAAGGTCCTGACGAGCATCTTTTTGCAGATCTCTGACTCTGCAGTCTTCAACATGTCATTGCTGACATGTGACGTGTACAGCATCGTTTTCTCTTGGCAGGACTGGTTGGTTTCCTTGGCAGACATGCGACATGCGTGAGCTGTAGCTTCAACATGTGGATTAAAGCCAGCGCTTTGGGTGAAACTCGTCCCCACATCTCACTCCATCCCTGAGGTCCAGCACAAACAAATCAGTTGGACCTACGGCATTGCATTCATCTTGACGTTATCGGGCTTGGTTTGGTATCACCGACAGCCTGCTCCAGTGGAGCACATGCACTGAGGGGTGCGGGGCTTGGGATGCCACAAGGGCTTCTCACTACGTAAACGGTTACGGGGTCTCCAAGGCCTTCGGAGACCTGAAACACGGAAAAAACCGTGAAAAACAAAACAAGCAATTTGGCCACCGGTATATAAATAGAAAAGTCTTTGCGACGAATTGGCGCATTGGGATGAACAAGTTGACGCACAGGCCCAGGGATGCCATGTTTGAACAGTGTCCGGTGAAGTGTTTGAGCCAGAAGCACCCGTTTTGCCAGCTGCTAGTTTTTTTCGTTTTCGTTTTGGGGCTTGGTGTTAGTTGCTTTGCTTTTTGTTGGCAAGGTCCGGTTGGTTTTCGTTCGTGAACACCGGACAGCTATGCCAGAGAGGGGTAGCCCGCAGTCAGCACATTCTTGGAGGTACACATTCTTTTGATGTGCTGTAAAGCTGCATGGCTCCAACCCTTCAAACTGTACAGATCGAAAAGCTGTCTCCTTCGGTGAAGTGGGTCCACTTTCAAGAGGCCAAGGGCCAGGGCTGCCTCCAAAATGCGTGGGGACCACTGAGTTGCTAAATCTAAACGCAACCACAATCTATGCCCCAGTACAAGTGGTCAGTTCCTTTACAATCTTGTTTTGCAACATTCATCTCCCTAGCTAATCATCAAGGAGGTCCCAGAAATGGATCACTTCGCAGTCCATGCCTTTGCTTGGGTTGCAGCCAGCTATCGCGAAAAAAGCTTCTAGTAGCTTCTTGTTCCTAGTAGTATGGCCAGGAGCCCCTAGTAGCGATACCAGGAGCCCCTAGTAGCTTCTTGTTCCGCTGAATGCTGATGTTTGGACAAGCTTTCTTTACAGAAGGCTGCTGCCGCTAAAGGTCTTGTAATGTTGCTTCCGCAGTGATGCATTTTTCTAACGATGTTGGACATCCGTCAAAGCGCCCAATGATGTTGGAACAGAGGCTCAGATCTTGGATCACAGCAGGCGCTTGACCTCAGGGAGACTGGGGATTCATCACGGCTGTGATCATCCAAAGCAAGTCTGCATAGCAGGCCCTGCATTCATCGGATTTCGAGAAACAGTAGAAAGCCCCTCTTCGTTTTAACAATAACATACAATAACATATTTCTACAGAGGAAAAGTGATGAGGCCTTGCAGGCCTCGAGCCTTTTTGTCCTACTCAGGTTTGTGCCAACTGCGAGAAGCCCATTCCGCCTGAGGGCCGCTTTTGCAGCGGCTGTTTTCCTCAGGTCGTCGAAGAGGCGCCCGGTGAACTCAAACGGCTTCAGTGTATGATGGTGGAATACGATGATGGAATACACCAGTGGAATGCATGTGTGGATACGACCTTCCCGCGGTTGGTTCTTGGGGCTCCACAATATTACACACACATGTATATATATATATTATATATCCAGTACATATACATGGGTTTGGGTTAAACCCTGGCACTTCCCCAAGCATAGACGCTTGGCTTAGACTAGACTATGTACAGTAATCCCACCCTGCCTATTGGCAGGATTCTTCCCAGCCTTCAGGGATGTCTTCCTCAGAGCGGAATTGTCACTCACATGAAAGTAACTGAAGTGTCATTGAGTTAATCTGTTCTTTTTGCTGGGTTTGGATGCATCTCGTCTCGGCTACCTCCATCGCGCCCCTGCCTCTCTAACGTTTGAGTCTTGCAAGGCGGGCATTTTGGGCAATACATGGACATATTTGCTAAAGTCTAGTCGTAAAGCTTGGCAAGGAGAATTTGTTTGGTTGGCATTTCTACACGAGAATCCTTGACGTTGCCCGTTCACTGATTTTCAGGCCTTGCAGCTTCGGGAAATCGTTGGAAAGCAGCTCGCCATCGCCGGCGTTGTTGAAAGAATCACTGCAGGATGTGCATTTGAAAGAATTGTATCGATTGAAACAATGGTGGAACTACGTGGAACTTGTTGATTGAGAAGAAACAATATACGTTGTCTATGAGTCTATGGCACATTTTTTGTAATAGCCAGTGATATCATGTGCTATGTCCCAGTCCCATGTCACAGTACCATTCTTGGTTTCCAGTGCCAGGTGGAAGCTGCGGCCCTGCGCCATCAGCCCTTTGGCCTCACTTTGTTTGGAGATGATGGCCAATGGTCAACAATTGAAAGATGTTTGTTCATCACAAATGCTCACTTGACATCACTGACTTGACAGCTTGGAGCTTATGGCGGATCAAGATGGCTGGTGGCATTTAAACCATTACTCTAGTCAACTTTTGCCCTCAAATTCCAACAGATGTTTGAACAATCTGGCTTCCAGTGCTTCCAGTGCTTCCAGCTGAGCTGGGTGACATAAATGGATGGACCAGCCTGGCCGTTCCATTGAGCAATTCCATCGTTGAAACCATATGCGATACTCCGATGCTGTACCACTGTAGACGAAACTCAGCAAACTCGAAGTGGTTGGTACAGGAAGTTGTCAAAGATGAATTTGTAGCTGTTTCACCATTTATGGTATATAGTTCACTAGCAAATTCGAAGTGTTCACTGTTCTCTCAGCCTTTGTGTCGCAGTGTCCGTGGTGCCGTGGTGTCGCTTATATAGTTTCAAAAGGTTTAAATTTTAAATCATGGAGGATTGACTAAATGTGTGGTTAAGCTAACGTGAGGGTTTGCTTGGTGCAACATCTCTACAAGGGAGAGATTTGCCTGATTTCTTAGCATTGCAGCTTACACAAGAACAAAAAAGAAGACTCCTCGTTGTTGCGGCTTTAGTACGACCCTCTTCCAGCACGGGCAAGTTTCTCCCTACAATGCTTAGAGAGAGAGAGAGAGAGGCGGATGTCTCGCTTTAAGCAGTGCTTGGGATCCAAGGTTGGAAAGCCAAAAGAGAGAGGAAACACAGCTTGAGGCCCGGCCAGGTATAGCTGGTTGAAAAGATCATCCGCAAGTGAGATCCAAGACTTCTTCGATGGGTGTAAGCGGAGCTTGTATGGAAATTTCTTTTGAAATCAATATTTGGGCATATTTGCTTCCAAATGATTAAGTGTCCACCAACCACCATGCATAGGATTTCTTTCGGATTGTGGGCTGAATGGGTGCACCAGTAGCCCTGCTTGTCCTTGTGACTTGCAGGCCCGGAAATGCGACCTGGAGGCCCAACTTTATGCGGTGGAGGCCGGAGCACAGGACCCGTCCAGCGCCTGTAACGTGGCATCAGCCTGGGGCACCCACAGTCAGGCCACGTTGGCATTGAAATTCTCCAGGTGAGACAGGTCTCAGCTTCAGCCCCAGCTCAAGTGCTCAACCGAAATCGCTGAAGGACTCGCAGACAGAGCCAGACCCTGAGACATTCTCATAGAATGGGATAGCAGAGAAACAGTGAAACAGCAGTCGCCGCAAATGATCTCACTGGTTTTCACCATGCGCGAGTGAGTATGAACTGTCATGTATATATATATATATTATATATATACTATATATAATTTGATTGTTTAAATTGTTTGGAGCTTTCTTGGCATGGCCTGGTCACGTCAAGAGAACGTGAGGCTGAAAGTGCCTAGGCCAACCCACCACATTCTCAAAGCCCTGGCGCAGCTGCGGACATTGCGGAGAGACGAGGAGGCAGACCGCTTGCATTGTGTGAAGGTAGAAGGGCAACAAACAGAACGGACATGGTTGGACACTGATACGTCCGGCATTCTGTGACAAGTGATAAGTGAAAACCTGAGAGCGATGGCCTCCAACCTACAATGAGGCAATAGTCTCCGGAGCTTCAGGTTTCGGTCTCCCGACTCGGTGCGAGACAGCATGTTTTCAGCTTCGTCAGGCTTGGACAGGCATTGACAAGACGCCATACTTGAGACAACGACGAGTGAGGAAGCATTAAGGCAGTAATAGGCAACTATTAGGACATTATTATGACACTGACATAGGCAGCCCATGGCTCATTCCTGAAGCCTCTCAAAGCAACTGAAACAGCACACACCACAGGAATTTTGTTATTTTCAACCACACATTCCACACGGTGTACCTTCAAGCATTGCTTTTGTTTACTGTATACTTTTCCTGCCCATGCCTCCATTCCAAGCCACTTCGATGGATGGCAAGCTGTGTGTGGAAGTTCAGCATGCCCAAGACTTGCATGGTTCTGAACCCTGCTGCAAATCAGCGGCTGGCGGTTGTTCAGGGCATGATCGAAGCGAAGAAGGGCAACGAAGTTGGTGTGGTTGGATGTTGAGAAGCCCTCGGCAAAGCAGTTTTTAGACGATGGATGTTTTATGATGTTTTACTAGCAACTAGCTTCTTGTTACTAGTAGCGATGCACTTGTTTCTAGTTGCGATGCACCTAGCTACTAGTAGCTTCTTGTTACTAGTAGCAAAGCCGGAGCAAGGACTTTTCTTCCCACTCAGCTGAGGAATATCGCCTTTTCGACCACACCAGTGCTGTCTTGGGTATGCGGCGGATTCGGCCTTATGTCACGTGCAAGGTGTGCTGGGCCGCACAAGCTTTTTGGCTGCATGCTTTGGTTGCGAACATTCGGGGATAGGACATGCACAGTTCAACTCACATTGCGGCAGATGTCATAGTAGATGACGAGCATTAGTCAAAGACCATGGGGCACTTGTCACCAGCCGCCTTCAGAAACAACAATATCAAAGCCTTTTGCGTTTGCGTAAGATGAATTGCAACACACCATGGCACTCTGTCCTAAATATAAGTCTAAATGGTCTAAATTCTAAATCAAAGTGTCCAGTGAGTTTGCAGGCTAGATAAAGTCGCCGATATGACAAAAGACGAATTGGGAGAAGTATGGGGAGGCTTTAAGCCACATAAAGAGATATATATAAAGAGTATTCCCTTTGATGCGCACATGGTTTCTAGTGACTTTGCTGCAGACAGACAAATTATGTGCAGCTTTATGTGCAAGAAAGGAAGACTGAAGACACTTCTGGGTTTGCTGAGGAGACACCGCCACAGAGCAGCAATTTCATCGAGGCAGGCAATGGCGACTATGCTTATTGGGGCCAAAAGCTGATGTTTTCTTTGAGCAATGACTTTTGGAATGCTTCGGTCTTCAAGGCCGGGCGAAGAGACGAAGAGATGGAAATACCTAGGGGAGAGGGGGCGCGATCGGGCCCAGCGCGCGCTGTCGTTGAAAAGAGGTTGTGATGTTTTGCTTACGTTCTTTCAACTGGCGTGATTCTTTGGACACTCCACTGAAGCATTCAGTACAAGTAGCATTTTCATGAGCTGAATGAAGCTTGGCATCGGAAATCGCACAATGATAACATTAGGAAACACATAGGACCAAAACAAGAAAAAAACACATGTCAAGATATGACAAATACTAGGAAAATATTGGGCACACACGTCTAAAAATTACACAAAACAAAAAGCAAGGCAAGAAGAAAAGACAGAAGCAAGGATGCAGCAATATGGAGCACAAGCACAGAATCAAACATCTGACGAGGTAAGGCGAACTAAACAATCATCTGGCAGGAGGGGCGTAGAGGAGCGGAGGGGTCGGGGTTGAGGCGGGGAGTGGTCAGGGCAGGGGTCGAGCGGTCGATTTGTTTCCTATTTGTTGTCATATGTTCATATATGTTCTATCTATTGCTATATTGTATTTTGTTTGTGTCCTATTTTATTCATATCTTTCCTTATGCTATTCCTAATTAATTATATATGCTTTTCCTACTTGATCTATTAGTTTCCTAATTGTCTCGAGGCTTTTTGCCAGTTTTGCAGTTTTGCGAGTTGCTTTCCGGGCAGTCTGGTCCAGACCCGGGCTCGAATCCCCTGAATGTGCTTCCCCCAGCCCGGAGCCATGGTTGGTTTGTTTATTTTTTGTTCATGGTTTTGTATGTGTTGTTGTTGTTGTTGTTGTTCCTTTCTAGTTATTGTTCCTTGCTTGTTTCCTATTGTTGATGCTATTTATATATGTGGAAGCTTAACTTCCAGTATACATTATATAGATGCAGGTGCACGATGCACATTTGGAGTTTAACCCCTGAACTTATTGATTAACTATATGACATGACTCTATCATTATCATGATCACGATCACTGCAACCGGAGGGAAAGCAAGTTAAGACTCAAAGGATTGCTCTTCTCCGGAAGAGCTCGGTTCAGACGATAGAATGATGAATCAAGTTGGATCAAACAGAATAGACATGAGTAGACCGAAAAAGAGACGCACAGACTTACCTGGCAGGTGATCTTAGAGGTATTCGACAAACGGGAGCTCCAAGGCGTCCTGAGGGGTGACTCACTCATCGGCCGAGCAGAGTTCAACGTGGATCCAGCGGTGCTCGATGTGACACCTCAACAGGAGGTCCAATCCGGGGTCGGCTGCAGTTGCTAGTGACGTCATGTGAACGTCAGGTGACCCACAGGTCTAGTGGAAATGTTGGGAGGCTAAAGTCAGGTGCTTGCACAGTGTGCACTAATTAAAATATGTGCACTATGTTGCACCTGGCAGCGCAGCCAGTTGCGGAGCGAGCTGAGATAGGTCAAAGACAACGAGATCACCTTTTCAAGTAAGTAAGACATGTTTCATTGCGCACAATTAAGTCTATGCACTGCATAGACTTAATCACAATCTTGCCTAAACGAGGTCCCCCTCAACTACGGCTACCCTGGAAGTTCTGCAATTAGTTGCAGAATGAATTGGGGCTCACACTGAATCACACTTCTCATGTGCAATCCGCTTCATCAACAGCATGGACACCCCAGTCTTGTGCAAGAAACAATGGAAGATAAAGTGATGTTCCAAACTTTTTGGCCGTATGGTGGGGTCTTTCCGATGATGGCATGACAAACATGACTGGTACTGTTTTCTTGCTTTTATTTGGGCAGCTTGAAATAGAACGTCCGATGAAGACGCTGGAGGTGGCATTGCAGACATCTCGGGGTGCTCCAGCTGGGAAGCTTCATTTGGGATTTCAGATTCAAGCACCGCAGGAGCCGCCGTCAGGATAGTACACGGATGATGACAAGGTTACCGTTTGTCAACTGCGTTAAATGTAACATGTGCAAAGGGATAGAGAGCTAGTTCTCAGTGACACTACCGCATCGCATCTCACCAAACTAAAGTCACTGCTTTTGGTTTAGCTTGTTTTTTAATGCGTTTTTCATCGTGTCAGGAGGCTTTCAACGTCATGGCCCACAGCTCTCAAGGCGGAAGCTGTTGCAGGACTCAATGAGAAGCACCCAACCACCTCCCCAACCACGCCCAATCTCCGCGCTTTTCAAAGAATAGGACCACATGGGAATCATAGGAATACTACGGATGCGGGGATGCCATGTGTGAGAGGACAGGGGCTTAAGCGGCTTAAGTGCAACATAGTGCAGCCAAGGCAGAGCGAATACGTTGATGACTTTGTGCCAGGCTCCTTGGCAGCCGCAGCGAAAGCCTTCGCCCAGACGCTGAGGCAGCAAGGAGCCCTGGAGGAGCTCATGAATGCACGTCCCACAGCGATGCGAGAGATGCCAGCTGAACGTGTGGATGCTGCCAACGGACATCAAGCAAGATTGTTTCAACATCACATGGTTTACCCATAATTTGTATGCACAAATGGTTAAGCAAGGGGAAGAGATGGGAATAGAATTGGTAGTTTTGCTAGAACAAACGCAACAGATGTTTCTTTTGGCTTTCAGGATGTTTTGAGGTGGGGTGAGTTGTTGCCATATTGTTTTAATTATATACCAGCTCGCCTGCGCCAAGGTTAGAAATTTGTTACGCCCCTGGCTGTCCAAATTTTGTCTCCAGAGCTTATGCCTGAGCGGCAACGAAGCCGACGAGAGTGCTATCAGGTCCTTGTGGAAGTTGGCACGCTCGGCACAGGAAATCATCGCTTGTTGCGCACAGCTTGGAGAAGACGATGATGTACCCGGCATTGTTGTTCAATGGCTCAAGAACTATTTCTCCAACTCTGCCAAGGTGGAAGCTGATTTGAACGAGACCCGTTTGCGTGAGCTCTTGGCCATGTACCAGCCAGGGGGCAATCAGAGCGATCCATGGGCACGTTTGCAAGACTTTGGATCCTCGCTTGCAGTCATCGCGTTGCCAAGCTATGCTCGTGCACGGATGTGGGGCCGCAGCATGTGCTAATCCTTCCTGGGCATTCCTTGTTAAAATGCGTTAACATGCGTTAACTATTAACGACTGTACCATAATTTGTCAGATACTGGAATTGGTATGGATGAAGGCCCGCCCGGACCTCACTGCAATCACTTTTGGGGTCCATGTGCAGCTTGTTTGACTCTTTGGAGGGAAACAGTAACGCTGTGGGACTCCCAAGTCTTCAACGGTGGCAACTGCCGCAACCCATGGACAACTTGCAAAGGTGCAAGGCTGCCAAGCGGCTCACCTTTGGAGTTGGCATTTTCTTTGGCCACACGACTTGAAGAAGCCCAACGAGGCAACGAGATGGAGATCTTCACCTGTGAGGCGTGGTCAAGTGCATGGCTCATGCTGCCTACAGGCTGCTCTAAACAGGTTGCACAACGATGGTATGAATGAGTGTTGGCTTGTTGCCCCCTACTAGCCGCCATTTATACGAATCATCAGTCTTGAAGATCCAAGTCTCCCTTACCAGGAGATCATCCAAAATGGCCGTGTGGCTCCTGGAATGGCTGCCGTCGTCCGAAGCTCCAGTGGAGGGATCGGCGGGCACGTCTTCATCTATGAGCATCGGTCGATCAAGGATTGGCAGGTGGGAGCTTAGAGTTCATGCCTGAGCACCTACACGTGGATTTCGCTCATGGGAGACCGAAGCGGTGGAGCATGTTTGGTATATACGTATGTGATCATATGTAGGTGTAAATTACATAGCTATTCAATGCTATTCATATATCTATATATGCTAAGTATACATGCGCGTGAATGCTTGTCAACTACTACGGTAGCTTGAAGATAAGTCAAGCTTGCAGCAGCAGCGCCTCCTTTTTGCGGCTCTAGGCCCAATGCTCGAGTGATCCATGCACGCGTGATCCACTGAGTGCTCACGAGATCATTCCCATCAGCTGACAGCTGACTGTGCTTCCTTTGGGCAGCCAACTGCAGCATGACAGCATCCCTGTAATGCCACATGTTGTGTCATGCTGCTTGCATGGGAATTAGCTGCTTAGCTGCTTCGGGAATGTTTCAGTGGGGAAGGGCAGATTGGCAGATGAGGTTTAGCTTGCCATTGTAATGCCCTTATCTCTCGGAGACTGGGCCAGACTGGGGTCATGATTTGCAGATTGCAGAGAATGGCAGGGTTTGGGGTTGCATTGGAGGTTCAAATCGCACTATATTTACAAATTGCATCAATCAATAGATTAAGCGCTTTGTGGCGATCCACGGTCTCCGACCAGCGACCCCAGCAATCTGGATTTGGAATTTGTGCTCACCTGGCTCTTTGACCACAGCTGTTACGTTGGAATTGCACAATAGAAGCCAATTCCGACAGAGTAGGCTGCCTTCAGTGCAGCACCAATGCCAGGGTGCCAGGGCGTGCCCGTAGCGGAAAAGCGCTCGAACGTAGCATGCATGGCCCCTCCCACACCCACAACACAAATTCCAATGTATTGCCGCCTGTATTGCCATCCTTGAGAACTTGAACCCTTTGACACCTTGGCTGTGCTTTTTGAAATTGAGCGCACATTCGCTTGGGAAGGTACGCTCCAGGCTCGCTGCAGAGCAGTTGGAGGTTGGATGGTGCCGGGAGTGGCGTGTTGCTGATCCACGATGCATACATGGTAAGGGCAGCAAATCCACATACGCGCACCCTCATGCGACAGACGAGGAGCCCACATAGTTCAATCTCGTTTCATCACGGCTTGTGTATGTGTGTGTATATATTCTTGCTTTCAGATGACAACTGACATACGCGTAGATGTGACCCATGCCCCGTTCACACCCATTACATCCTATTACAGGAAGAGGGGCCCACAGAATGTGTCACAATATCTAGACCAACCAGCGCTTTAGTTTTGAAACTCTTGCCAAGACGTATCCAAAAAAATATCCAAAGCGTTTGAGTGCCACCTTGTTGGCAGTCGACTCGTCAGAGCATGCTAGAGCCCTGTCCACCAAGCTACAGTCGGCTTCCAATCATCACAACAATCAAGAAGGCATCCAGAAGCACCACACCTGTTGGAAGCCATGGATATTAGTAGGCTATTAGTATTAGGTTGGAGGCCATTGCTATTAGGTTGGCGGCCATGGAGTATAAGCAGAAGTTAGGTTCATTTTTGTTGCAGTTGTTTGCTTTCGACTTAGTGGCAGGCCTTGTCGCAGCGCGAGGCTGCTAGCATCGGAGCCCTCGAAGAGGCCACAGTGCGCCTGCAGCAGGACGGGTCAACGGGCCAAGGGAAGGAGGGATGGATGAAATTAGTGCGTCCATTTTTCAACATTGGAGTGGAAGCCGCTCGTAGAAGGCTCTATTTGTCTTGCAAGTGGAGTGTCTCGCACTTCCGTGCTTGAGATGGTACACTTGGAGTACCTTAAACCAGGATGGTGTGGCTCCAGTTTTGGTGCCCAGGGATTCATTCTGTTTCTGCCTCGAGGCGAATGAGCGGCATGGATCCCTGCAAGAGCGGCCTGCGCCTGAAGTTCGTCCGACGAGTCAGTTTGCTTGAGAGTTGGAGGTTGTGAAGTGCTTGAAGGTTCTACAAAAAGGAGTCATGAGACATTGTGACATGTTGTCGCTTGATGCAGACCTTGGGCTGGTTGTGCGCATATGAAGCAGTGAAACATGGACCCTAATTGTGAGCCAAGACCAAGAGCTACAGTAACAAGAAGCTACTAGGGGCTCCTGGCATCGCTACTAGGAGCAAAGGGCATCGCTCCTTGTGCAACTAATGTTCACTTGGACTCGGTGGCTCGGTGTGAACAGCCAAATGGCTCCCTATCGCTCTTTTGAGGCTACTCCATGGCGACAAGAGACTTGGCAACCCCATAGCCACTGACTTCCATGAGTGCAGTACATAATAGTACATAGTTGCTCTATGTTGCGCTGCATGTTGTTGTTGTCACGAAAGCTAGCGAAGCTAGCTGGAGTTACTCTTGCGATAGCTAGGTTTCTTTCGACCGGGTGCAAATCCTAACCCCTGATTTTTCAGGTCGAAGCCCCCCCCCCCCTCCCTCCCCTCTCCCCACCTCCCCTCTCCCCACCTCCCCTCTCCTCCTCCTTGTCTTCCTCCCACCTTCCCTCCCTCCCTCCCTCCCTCCTGCAAGTTCGACTCCGTCCTGTCGTCGCTCTTTGGCATGCGGTTAGCGTTGCGTATCTTGCGGCCGCACTCGCTCACTCTCACTCTCACTGTCTCACTGTCTCACTGTCTCTCTCTCTCTCTCATCTCTCTCATCTCTC